CTGGTAGGGGGGGGGGGGGGTTAGGGTTAGGGTGGATGGATTGCACCCTCAGCAAGTTTGCGGATGACACTAAGCTGGGATACTTTGGAGGGCAGGGATAGGGTCCAGAGTGACCTAGACAAATTGCAGGATTGGGCCACAAGAAGGCTGATCAGGTTCAACAAGGACAAGTGCACAGTCCTGCACTTGGGACGGAAGAATCCCAAGCACTGTTACAGGCTGGGGACCGACTGGCTAACTTGCAGTTCTGCAGAAAAGGAGCTGGGGGTTCCAGTGGATGAGAAGCTGGATAGGAGTCAACAGGGTGTCCTTGTAGCCAAGAAGGCTAATGGCATATTAGGGTGCATTAGGAGGAGCATTGCCAGCAGGTCTAGAGAAGTGATTATTCGGCTCTGGTGCGGCCACATCTGGAGTATTGTGGCCAGTTCTGGGCCCCTCACTGCAGAAAGGATGTGGACGCATTGAAGAGGGTCCAGCAGAAGGCACAAAAATGATTAGGAGGCTGGAGCACGTGACCTATGAGGAGAGGCCGAGGGATCTGGGTTTGCTTAGACTGCAGAAGAACGAGCGGGGATTTGAGAGCAGCCTCAGCTCCCGGAAGACGGGTTCCAGAGAGGATGCAGAGTGGCTGGACCTCAGGCACTGGCACTCACAGCAGGACTGACTGGCCATACAGACTCTCTCCTCAGGCCCTACACTACCAGCTACCTTTGAGACACCACAGACTTCCTGAGGAAACTACAAACTGGCAATCTTCCAGGAATACCATCCTAGTCCGTGGACAGAAACTCTGCACCGACATTCCACACGAGGATGGACGACAAGCCGCCAGGAACCGTATCCCCGAAGATGTCCCAGCCTAGCTGGCTGCTGAGCTCTGGGACTTTGTGCTCTTTCACAACCATGTCCAATTTGGGGATGATCTATACTTTCAGGTCAGCAGCACCGTTCTGGGAACCCACATGGCCCCACAGTTCTCCAACATGCTTCTGGCTGACCTAGAACAACACTTCCTCAGCTCCCATCCCCTAGCGCCACCCCTCTCCTTGCACTACACCGACAACAGCTTCAGCATACGGACCCCCAGGAAGGAGACCCTGGAAGAATTCCACCAGGATTTCAACAACTTCCACCCCACCATCAACCTCAGCCTGCACTAGACCACATAAGACATCCACTTCCTGGAACCACAGGGCAAGTAAGAGATGGTCACACTACACTGGAAACCTACTGACCAACATTCTGACCTACATGCCTCTAGCTCCATCCAGGACACATCACACACAATGTTCCTTTAATCTTTTCCATCCATGTGCAGAATAAATTCTTTTATGTGCACTGAGCCATGCGTGAATGGGCATCCCCGATAGAAACAACCAACCTGGCTGTGGGTGCTCTGCTAATCAGCTGGGTGGCATTTGAATTTCTCCTGAGAAGCTGCGGAAGTACACAGTTTATAGGGAACGCTCATCGCATGATCCATTGTCTACAGCCAAGCCCTAAAACACAACCAGATTTGCTCCAATCCCACAGCCAACGACAAACGCCGACAGGGTCTCTATCACAGGTTGTTAAAACAACAACACTCGCCTGGGGAAGTGGAGAAACAGAATGACAGAGCCAGGCAGGTACCCAGGAGTCACCTACTACAGGACAGACCCAACAAAGAAAGTCACAGAATGCCACTGGCCTACAGCCCCCAGCTAAAGCCTCTCCAACACAGCACAAGGACCTACAACCCGTCCTAGACAACCATCCCTCGCTCTCACAGGCCTCGGCAGCCAGGCTGGTCCTCCCCAACAGACAGCCCCCAACTCATTACCCTCCTCCTGCAACAAACCCCCTTGCTAGGTCTGTCCATAGATCTACACAAGCAACACCATCACAGGATCTCACCAGTACACCCTCAAGGGCTCATCGCCTGCACGTGCACTAGAATGACAGCTGTCCTCAAGGGCTGGCAGTGTTTCTCAGCCATGTGGACTGGCCACACCAGACAGTCTCGTGCCAAGGAACAGACAGACACCAATCAGACATCAAGAACGGTAACATCCAAAACCCAACAGGAGAGCAAGTCAACAGTCAGTAACACACCCGGGTTAGTCAGTAACACACCTGAAAATTGTGCAAACACCTCCAGAAACAGAAGGCAGCACAGAACTGCTGAGCTAGAATCCATGTGCAAGCTTGGCCCCAACAGCCTGGCTCTGAACCGCGACGGGGACTGGCCAGCTCATTACAAACAGTAATTTTGATCCTCTAGGATGGGTATCTTACCTTCTCCTCGACTGGTGGGAGTGGGCCACGTCCACCCTGCCTGACTAGCCTCCTGAGCAGAGACATACCACGCCCCTCGCGGTGTGAGGCCCCCCCCTGCCTGACTAGCCTCGTGAGCAGGGACATACCACGCCCCTCGCGGTGTGAGGCCCCCCCCTGCCTGACTAGCCTCGTGAGCAGGGACATACCACGCCCCTCGCGGTGTGAGGCCCCCCCCTGCCTGACTAGCCTCGTGAGCAGGGACATACCACGCCCCTCGCGGTGTGAGGCCCCCCCCTGCCTGACTAGCCTCGTGAGCAGGGACATACCACGCCCCTCGCGGTGTGAGGCCCCCCCCTGCCTGACTAGCCTCGTGAGCAGGGACATACCACGCCCCTCGCGGTGTGAGGCCCCCCCCTGCCTGACTAGCCTCGTGAGCAGGGACATACCACGCCCCTCGCGGTGTGAGGCCCCCCCCTGCCTGACTAGCCTCGTGAGCAGGGACATACCACGCCCCTCGCGGTGTGAGGCCCCCCCCTGCCTGACTAGCCTCGTGAGCAGGGACATACCACGCCCCTCGCGGTGTGAGGCCCCCCCCTGCCTGACTAGCCTCGTGAGCAGGGACATACCACGCCCCTCGCGGTGTGAGGCCCCCCCCTGCCTGACTAGCCTCGTGAGCAGGGACATACCACGCCCCTCGCGGTGTGAGGCCCCCCCCTGCCTGACTAGCCTCGTGAGCAGGGACATACCACGCCCCTCGCGGTGTGAGGCCCCCCCCTGCCTGACTAGCCTCGTGAGCAGGGACATACCACGCCCCTCGCGGTGTGAGGCCCCCCCCTGCCTGACTAGCCTCGTGAGCAGGGACATACCACGCCCCTCGCGGTGTGAGGCCCCCCCCTGCCTGACTAGCCTCGTGAGCAGGGACATACCACGCCCCTCGCGGTGTGAGGCCCCCCCCTGCCTGACTAGCCTCGTGAGCAGGGACATACCACGCCCCTCGCGGTGTGAGGCCCCCCCCTGCCTGACTAGCCTCGTGAGCAGGGACATACCACGCCCCTCGCGGTGTGAGGCCCCCCCCTGCCTGACTAGCCTCGTGAGCAGGGACATACCACGCCCCTCGCGGTGTGAGGCCCCCCCCTGCCTGACTAGCCTCGTGAGCAGGGACATACCACGCCCCTCGCGGTGTGAGGCCCCCCCCTGCCTGACTAGCCTCGTGAGCAGGGACATACCACGCCCCTCGCGGTGTGAGGCCCCCCCCTGCCTGACTAGCCTCGTGAGCAGGGACATACCACGCCCCTCGCGGTGTGAGGCCCCCCCCTGCCTGACTAGCCTCGTGAGCAGGGACATACCACGCCCCTCGCGGTGTGAGGCCCCCCCCTGCCTGACTAGCCTCGTGAGCAGGGACATACCACGCCCCTCGCGGTGTGAGGCCCCCCCCTGCCTGACTAGCCTCGTGAGCACACTCTCCCCATCGTGCTTGAAGGCTCCCGTAGCTGGCTGTAGCTGTAAATTCCTGCCAAAGTGAAGCTGCCACTGCAGCCCAAAGAAAGGGGCTGGTCTTTAAGGCGCCGCTGGACTCCGGTTGAGTCTGTCTCCCCTCTGAGGCTGTTCTCGGGGGGGCGGATGGCAGAACGAGGCGCAATGGGCTCAATGTGTTGGCGATTAGGACAAACTACTTCCCGAGGAGGGGGGGTGCAGCACGGGATGGGATCCCCAGAGAGGGGTGGAATCTCCATCCCTGGAGGTTTTCAAGGCCTGGCTTGAGTAGGGGGTTGGGCTTACTAGCCTGAGCTCCTTCTAGGGCCCTGTGCTGAGCTGCCAGGCTGTGACGTGTTCCCGCTCTCCCTCGCTGTGCCCCCAGCCCCAGGAGCAGTCACCATGTGACCTTAGCCCCAGCTCCACCCCTTCCTCAGGGCTGAATAGTGACTACCTGGCTGCTCCTGCCATGCGGCCATAGCCCCAGCCTCCCAAGCAGCCACTTGCCACGCGCAGTCCTGGCCCTGGCTGCCCCACC